ACTAAAATTAATTTCTCTTTCTTACATGCCTGTTAAGACTTGTTTTTCCAGTGTTTTTTTAAATACACAWATTCATTTTTCATCCTATAAAAATGACTAGCAATGAGAAATTATTTGTTTACTCAAAATGGAGCATATTTACTGAACCCCTAAAGGGACATTGGATGAAAAACATAAAATAAAACTCTCATGGGCACCAGATACTATCTAAGCTGTTATCAGTCACATACAGTGTGTCCAGACTGTCCCTCCTCTACCTCATAGTAGGTTGGAAGGCACTTTTCAATCATTTGTTTGCCTGATAATGTTGCATTCAGGCAACRTGGATTTAGCTCCTCCAGTGGGATGTAGAGCTGAAGTAATCGGCCGRCTCACTATCCAACTTTGACCAGGGAAGCACTCGATCTGMGGCATGGAGATGTAGGCTGCCTGTGGTCACCCCAGTTGCTAACAGACAGACAGCAGAGTTTTCCAGGTCTGCTCAGACATGTTCCTAACTTTAATCAACTGATCTCTGTGGTGCGTTAAACATTTACTGAAACTTTCATGTGTTTTTAGTTCAGTTTATTTGATGACAGGAGAGGGGAATAAATATATTTAATCTTATAACAAAATCCTACTATTAAATCAGCCGTGCGATTTGGCTCAAATTTCTGTCAGTCATAGCTGCCTGTGAAAGTTTCATCAAAACGWTTTGCATTTTATTTATTTTCATATTTTAAAGGAAAAGGAGCCCTGCAACTGGGGTGAGCCTACTCCCCCCTCTCGTCCCCTCTTCTGTTGTCCAGTAAAGAGAGTAAACATCTAAGAACCACTGGAGAAGAGTTCTGAGCGGCTTRCTGTCCAACTGCGATCCCAGGCAGAGTGCTTCTTCTGCAGCATGATTATCCGATCTGAGCCGCACCCCTGCTCATGCTCTAAGGTATTTTAAATTTTAATTGGCTGTTCTCTGTTGTGTWATAAACATTTTCTGAAAGTTTCATATAAATCATATAAATCAAGCCTAAAAAGACTGCACTATTGTGTGAAGACTTCTGCTTCTCCTGCCTGGCTGGTAGGAGGCTCTTTGCAGCCAACAAACTGTTTTTTTATTCCCCATTCATGAGGGTTTTCACTACCCCATGACCTGCACTAGTCCAAGCACTTTACAACCCATCTGCTTGGGACATCTTACACACCCCAGCCTGGGGTTAGTGAACTGAAGGGAGTGGGCTCAAGAAAATATTGATTGTTGGGATTCTGAACTGAATTATAAAATAACTGCATTTTGTTTGGTTTATTGTTTTTGATTTTTCTATGTGTGTTCTTATTGAATGGCCATTCAGATTTTCACTGATGTAAATGTGTACATATATTATTTTTGCTATAAATATAAGGCACAAGCAACTTCCACAAAAAAACTTCCAGTCTCTGTTTGCTCCTTCCTGAGTTGCAATCTAGTCTTCTGAGAAACTAGCCCATGAACCTTGTTATTTGTTACCAACTTTTTTGCTTTGATTACTAAATTGCAGTATACTGTTTATTCTACACATATGCTACACACTGAACCACCACTGCCTCTGTTGTGTGTCCCATTAGTGYATGAATGTGATTTAAACACTGACTAGAGCATGAGGTGTACAATCACTGCAATGAACCCTAGGAAGGGAGCAAGACCTGACGGAGGGTCTGGGAGGGTCCTCAGGGAGTGTGCAGATCAGTTGACCAGGGTCTTCACCATGATTTTTAATGCATCACTGTCTCAGTCCTTTATCTCACCATGCCTGAAGTCAGCCACAGTARTACCACTGCTCCAAAAACCTACCATCAGTAGCCTTAACGACTACCGACCAGTCGATCTAACACCTGTCATAAGGAAGGTGTTTTGAGAAACTTGTCTGACCTCACTTTGTGATCTACATCACATCTATATCGGACCCACTTCAGTTTGTATACAGGGCCAACAGATCAATAGAAGATGCCATCATCAAAGTGATCCACAAAACCATCCCCCAACTGGAACAAAATGGACATTATACCAGGCTGCTCTTYATCAACTTTAAATCTGATTTTAATACAATACTCTGACAAATTGGTTGTATAACTGATGGACATCAGACTTCCTTACAATTCTGAAAATTATTTATTTATGAGTAAATACAGGCATAAAATAAATAAAACCATTACAAATCAATAACTTGCATGCAACAGCCTAACATAGTGTTTTGATTACTGACGGAAAGAAGAATTTTAACAAAACCTGTCAAATCTAATCTTCTCCCCATTTAGTCAGACTTTATGTTCATGCTTTGGCCCCAGTCAATACTACTCAATCTTTGAATATTATTGACACCATAGACCCAGAGAAGCAGGCATTATCATTTTCCCCTGTGTTCCAGCTCTGTAATTGCCTCATCCTGTTACCAGTAGTTATGATAAATCACTCTACCAGTAATCGGAGTGCCCTTCYTTTTCCCTCTTGCTCCATGGGCTCCATGACTGTCTGATTTCAGGGCATGACACAATGGGATCCAGATGTGTGATCTATAGAGGACTTGTGATGCTCATAATCAACAAGGAATTGTGGTTTAGGATTACAAACATAGAGTCCAATCTGCTGGCCAGGCCTGCTTTGAGGCTACTTGARTGATTAATGGTACATTACCAGCAGCAAGAGGGAGCTGTTTCCAGTCTGACAGATACAGAACACTTTGTTGTGTCCAACAAATATACTTTAATTTATACACATACAAACACACAAATCCAAGAAGGGTAAAGCCCTCAGATGCTCTTTTGTTAAAAATATAGGTCCCAGGCAGTCAGTGGGTTAGCAAGATAGATGAGGTGAAGAGATTAGAGGATATCTGATGAAACCATGATGTAGGAATGGTGGCACAGAGGATATAGGATGTGTAGGTAAGGCCAGGTTAGGTCACCACAAATAATCTTGTAAGCCACATGATCAACAGGCTTCACAACAGCATTGCTGGAAGAAATTACCAAAGCTCACATTCATACTTCAAGAATGCATTTGTAAGACAAATTTCCCACACATTGATAATAGATAACAGCCTCTATTCTGTCATTTCACCACTTCTTTTCCATTTAGCATTACTTCAGTCCCTTTCCTAATGTTTAGTTTTTTTCCTCATTCTGATTTTTTTTTCTGTGGAAATGTACAAAGCCTGGCTGTCTCTGGCTACAGTGCAGGACTGTGTAGCAGGGCTGCAGGTCATATGCTGAGCAGATGTGGTTTATGTGGAATCTCTAGATGGCTCAGCAAGCTTATCTAACAATAAGCAGAGGATGGTATCTGATCACAACTGACTCTGAAGTTTTTGTTTCCATTTGCAATAAATATGCCTTGTTTCATAACTGGTGTCTTTCATACAAATTGCAAACAAACTCTAGATGAAAATCAGACGTAGCATTCCTTAGAAAARTGCATATCTCCCACAGCATTTCAATTTAATGCCAGAGTTTTAGACTAAGATTTTCTAATGGAGATGTATCCATTTTGGAAAAACACATTTTTGTTTTGATGTTAGGACATGAAAGGGTTAATTAATTTAAAAACGCCTTCTCATGCGTGTAAAAAACCATCTAAACTTTTAATTTTATGTGACAGATTGTATTTTAACCCTCACATTTCCTTGCGCAAAGGACATGAATTTTGTGAATTCCCAACTGWCCCTGCTCACTGGAGCGTGAAGCATTAAGATTTTGGTGTCATTCGAAGCAGAATTATCYCCTCTACCAAAGGTTATGCCCACATTTTCAAAATTATTATCTATGTTAATTTAATGGCAATTTTTCTGAGAGTATCAATTTTTTCTGATACACCCGGTAGACCCAGCAACAGCAAAGGCAGAAGCCCTCACCATCATCAAGCCCCAAGGCACTAAACCCTCTGGTGTCCCAGCACCCAACACATAGGCATCAGATCTTGGGGCCAAAGTGGAGGTTGTTCCASTCACTGTATTGCTGGCCCATCCAGCATGGTTCCYCACCAGATAGGCCAGAGGCATGGTCATAGGACCACCTGCAACATCCATGCCCAGTGTGCCGCAGGCTGGGTCATTGGAGATTTTAGAACCCCCTTTTGCTTGGTACTGGGAGCCGGTACCTTGTCCACTCAGTATAAAAGTACTTGTCAACTTCCGATCCACCGGGGGTAGACGACTGATGAGTGTTGATCATACCTGGGTTTTACATCAGAGTTTTCCTTCTCCTAGGCAGTTTTCCTGTCAAGGCTATCAAGCCCCACCTGCCTGGCTGCTTTTGGTTAGTGGCACCCTATTCACCTTTCAGCTTATTCAGGCACACCCCTCCCTATACACCAGGAAYAGGGATCCCCAATCCACCACCTGGGACACACACCTCTACGCAGTGCAGCCTCAGCACAAGGACCTGTAATCCTAAAAAGTAGAGTGCAGTAGAACTGGAAAAGAGCTCACTTTGATAGTAAMTATTTTGCAAGTGGTCCTCACTTTGAAGCAGAAGCAAGTACACACACAGGCTTGTTTTTTTTTTTATTCCTGTGGGAACAGTGGATTCACTTCGACTCATTTTCTGGTAATTATACACAACTGACCATTTACAAAAAAATTAAAAGAAGTTTAACTAATTTATATTTCTTTGCTTAATTTGGGGGAATACAAATGTTCATTTTAATGTTAACGGTGTTTAAAATATAAGAACTAAATCAGTAGAAACACAGTTTTACAGGCTGTATTTTTTTAACTACCTTGTCACCCTCCCCATCCACTTTCCTACTACTACTACTACTACTACTACTACTACTACTACTACTACTACTACTACTACTACTACTACTACTACTACTACCACTACTACATTTATAAAGCACTTTAAAACAGCCACAGCTGCAACAAAGTGCTGTACATGGAAAATCAAAACACACACACACAAACCAAAAAATAAAAACAATTAAAAACAATAAAATCAAATAAAAAACAATAAAATAGGTGTAAAACAAACCAAAACAGGTCTAAAACTGTGCCAAAAGCCAGGGAATAGAAATGTGTTTTTAAAAGAATTTTAAATGTCCCAATTTTCAACTGTACCTCTGCCTTACTGGCTTTGTCAACATGGCAGCCATTACCCAGCAAGAAATGCGTTGTGATTTAGTTTTATTTTATTTTATTTTATTTTAAATTGTACTTCTAAAAGATATATCACTTTTATCTGTAATCTTTGAAGGATTTTGAGTTGTGTTGACTTACATTTTTTATACATTTAGGTTTGGTTTGATATCTGTGTTGAAGTTAATTCTGAAACCTAGAGGTCTTAGGCTCAAGTATAAAGAGGGGAACTGAAGATGTAATGTAGATATTTTCAAAGAAAGTTATCAAATGTAACACACTGTACAGGCTGCCACATGGCAGATAAAAATGTTAATATGTTAAGGGTAATATGTTAAGGCTGCCCCCGCGACCCGACCCCGGATAGGCGGAAGAAAATGGATGGATGGATGTTAAGGGTTAGTAGTTTATCTTTAACTTCTACCATTTTTCACCAGTTTAGCTTTGAATTGTTAGTGGAACCAAGAAATTAACATTGCGGTTTAGGTGTTATCGAATCTAATTTTGTTTAGCTGAGCTCAACACTGGCAGCGTGCAAGGAATGGAAATGTTCCAGGCCACGTGCAGGATGGCACAGAACAGATGACCAGCAGACTAATGATGGGTAAATCAAGGCTTTCTGATCCACTGAATCAAACTGAAACAACAGTGAAAGAAATGACTCTGTTTTGAATCATTTGATACATTTGTGTTGCTCCATCTGCTGGCCACCTTTACAGTATAGCTGCATGAAACAATAAAGGACAAGCTGTGCCTTGAACCACTGAGTGAGGTTCTGTATAATAAAGCTTCTACACACATATCTGAAGCATTTAAACTATTTTCTTTTAAAAACAATAATAAAATTATTGTACAATGTGACTGTGCCATAAGCTGTTTCAGTGGAGTGTGAAAAACAAAAAACCGGACTGAAACTTGTCAAACAACTGGTTTGATTTGAGATGATTATTTAGCTGTGCAGCAACAACTTTCTCCAGAACTTTGACAGGAAAGGGAGATTGGTTATGGGTCTGTAGTTTGTAAGGATTGTTACCTCCGCCAAGGAGGTAATGTTTTCGGTCATGTATGTTGGTCTATCGGTCTGTCTGTCTGTGGACAACATTACTCAAAAACCTGTGGACGGATTGTCATGACATTTACATCATGTGGGTACTCGCCCAAGTAGCACACCATTAAATGTTGGTGATGTTCCGGATCACGAGTTGGACACAGGAATTTTTTTTTCTATTAATCCTCTCAGATCGGCAAATCTGTGATGCTTTCACAGGGCTTCTGTAAAAAACAGTGAGAGCTTTCAGTGTTCGTTTGAACTGGATTACGCAGCACGGACTTCAAACTTTATAAAAGTAATGTTAAAACCAGATGTAATGATGAATAAGTCTTGCCATAATCTGCGCATTTTTATGCATTTGGTACGCATTTAGAGAACGTCTTGTGACCAGGAAGTGCATGACTGCACCATGAAACCCATTTTTCCCATTTCCTCAAACACACCACATTGTCGTAGGGTTGTAAACAGATAGATGAAGAACGAGGAAGTGGAGTGATGTGCACAGGTGCGGTGGACTTCAGACTCAGAGGTTGTTTGTTTGTTTGTTTGTTCATTTCTATTATTTAAATGAGACCAGGGACGAGGTAATGTTTTCGATCGCGCTGACCCACTTGCTTCCAGAACAACGGGACCAGGAAGCACTTTATGAAGAGAGTCAAACCATTACAAACTCATACAAAGGGATAAAACAGACATTTTACACGGTGAAATGTGACTGATGAAAACTTAGGAGCTTAATCCGACACCAGTTTGACGATGAATAACGTCGGGTGACGAGTCTAACTTTTTTTTTTCTTTCCACATTGGACTCCAACCAGGAAGAAATCACTTGCATACTGCCTGCTTAAATGTTCGCTACRTCACAACTTATTAGGCAAATGTGTTTCCATCTCTGCTTTTGTGCATTTACTCTATTACAGGATGGGGGACATTGTACTTGGCGGAGGTTTGCACTCTTCGAGTGCTTCATGTTAGGTATTTTTTTTATTTTTGTTTTATTTTTATTTGTGCAGGAGAGCTTTGATAATGGCAGGTTTCAGTGGTACTGGGACAGAACCAGACTGAAGAGACATATGATAATGATAGTGATTAATGGTCCAATGGTTGAAATATTTGTCTTTCTGAGAGAGGAAGGGAAGGGGTCGAGAGCACATGTAGTGGGTTTCATCTTCCTGACAATGTCCAAGATTTCCTGCTGAGAGACAGAAGAGAAGGAGCGAAGAGAGATCTGGAGTTGTGGCTCAGATGATTTTTGGGCTGGAGATGAGAACAATCAGCAGAACATGTGCTGATTTCTGTGCAAAAACTGTTCAAAATGCATTGCACTGGTCAGCTGTTGCATGTTGAGTTTTTAATGTAGGGTGTGGAGCATGTTGATGGTACCCCAATAAAATACATCCCTTCCAGGTATAAAAAAACTATTTCTACAAAAGTTGTCTCGGACATAAACTCAGAATTCAAGATTAATGCTAAAACTCATGGCTTCGGCTATGATTACATAACATTTGACCAGACTAGCCAGATATTTTACATCAGAGCTGGCTTTTGGTTCCAAAATGTTAAAAACTGATTGCTTAACTAAATCCAGGCATCAATATTGAACTGATGAAGCCATTTACAGCTGGCATCCATAAAAAGTGTAAAAATATGAAGTCATTTTGAACATTTTTGGCATGAACTTTCCTCCACTGTTTTGTCAGGTGTCAGGGGCGGCTGTGGCGGAGTGGTTAGGTGAGTCGTCCTGGAACCAAAAGGTCGCTGGTTCGATCCCCCGTCCAGCCGTCTCAGTCGTTGTGTCCTTGGGCAAGACACTTCACCCACCTTGCCTACTGATGGTGGTCAGAGGGTCCGGTGGCGCCGATGTATGGCAGCCCCACCTCTGTCAGTGCGCCCCANGTGCATGTGTGATATCTTAATAGTATGTGTGTGCAACTGCTGTGTAGTGTGTGTGTGCATGTTTTTAATAGTGTGCATGTGTGACATTTTAATAGTATGTGTGTGCAACTGTTGTATTGTGTGCACGCTTTTATTTGTATGCGTGTGTGATATTTTAATAGTATGTATGAGCAAATATAGTCTTGTGAGTGTGTGTGACAGAGTCTATAGTAGTGTGTGAGAGAGAAAAGATAGTTTACGTCCTACAGGGCGCCTCATATAAAGCGCTTTGGGGTCCGGAGGGACTTGAAAAGCGCTCTATAAGTTCAGTACCATTTACCATTTGTCAGTATTTTCCAAACTGATACCAAATAGCACCAAAAAACTGTATCTTCAGACACTCTAGTAATCATGATGCATGGAAAGAGCAGAGACTCTCATTAAAATGTGCAGACCAGCCCATTGCTGTTTGTGGTTGTGTAACCCTTTCACGTTCAAACATTCAACTGGTTACGGACATGTATTAAGCTATAGCCTAGGAGAGGCTGACGTCGGAGTGGAGAAAGGCTCATGGCGTGGTGGTGGAGGAGAGACCTGGAGGTGAACAGGTAGCTGGTTTTGTTGGCCAGGAGGTGGCTGACAGTGGAGGAGAGCGTCTTGGATGGACCAGGAGTGGAGGCGTCGAGCGTCTGGGCTGCTGGGCCTGGGAGCGAGTGGCGTTGAACGATGAGACTGCTGCGTCACCTGGCTGTGGGCATCGGGCCATGGAGTTGCTCTCGCCAGGCCCTGGTGAGTCATGTCACGCAAACGCAGACAGCGAAGAGAATCAGCTGCTACTAGTCCTGACAATATGGAGGAAATAAAAAGATGACTAGACTTTATGAGTACTGAGYTAACAAAGCTAACTTAACAGCAAGAACTTTTGATGTGTTTGATGGAGGAAGTGAAGCTGTTAAAGGTCCAAGTGATAGAGATAAAAAGATTGCTGAACTGAGACAAAAAGTTGATGACCTGAGGCCTATTGCAGAAAAGTCAGATTTCTAAATTCAGGATATGAGCTGTAAGCTGAGGTTGAACAAGCCTTCAACTTGTAAACAGCCATAATCAGTAGCTCTAACACCAAGCCATGCTCAGTTAGGGTGGTTCATTCAAGTCAGGTGTAAATAATCTGGGAGTAATGCACGTTCACGGTTTGCTTACTAGACCCACTGGGTGGATCAAAGATTTCCTTATCAAGCATGCGCAGTAAGACACGAGTCTCACTTCTTCCAACAGTTTAATGGTTAATTATGATTCATATGAAGAGATGAAGAGAAACACCGACTG